CGGGGATTTTTTTTAGACCACTCATCTGGTCTGAACGTCACCTGTAGAGAAGCACAAGAGCCTGGCAGGGCAACAGCTTCCTGGCCCAGATGCCTGGGGCATAGGCTTGTGGCCCACATGGCAGCGTCCCTGCGGTGGCGTGCTCTGTGGCGGGGTTTCCTGCCCTCCTCGGGCTGGTGAGAGGCTCTGACAACAGGCAGGACCAACGAGGCACAAAGCATCACTACCTCTGCACAGCCCCGTTGACGGGTCTGTGCCACGGCCTTTCGTAGCAGAAGGCCACCAGCAGTGCCTAGTGAAGGACTCTGGAGGAAAACACCTACTGGAAGCAGATTCCCAGGGCTGGTGAAAGCTGCCGCCCTGTCTTCCTTTGTGGAGATAACTCTAAGGAATATTAGCTCGTATCCCCTCAGCATTCAGGAGACCTCACTGCTTGCTTGCCCATGTGGTTCTCTTGACACTGGGCCGCTGTGCAGCTGCTCGGGGGAGAAGAGAGGTGCTTTGGAAATTAGCATGAGCTGCAGATTTTGGCGTCTCTGGATTGTCTTCAGACCAGGTCTCTGGGTGACCTAACCCACCAAGGAAACGGTGAGCTACATGCTCTTGTGGCAAAGGTCCAACCTCGCCATGGGCCCTCCTCGAGCAGCCCTTAGCCAGCAGGGAGATGGGGACTCCAGCCCCATCTAAGCCTGATCCCAGGTGAGGAAGACCCATGGCGCGATGAAACCTGGACTCTTAGGAAGGAATCAGCAGAGGTTGCGGCCTCCAGAGGGAGCTGTGCACACCGGAGTGCAGGGGGACGAACAAAATGGGTTTATTTCGGTGTCTTTATTTCATTTTACCCATTTGTAAAGGACCAGCCTTGCATGTTCTCCATGAACCTGAAATGTAGCCAGTTAGAAATTGGTTTAAGCAAGAGATTCCTGGCTCCCTAGGACAAATTGCGGGCTTTGCTCCCTCATCTACTTTTTGGTTTTTGTTTTCTTTCTGTGTATCTTCCCTTCCTTG